AAGGTGCAGACGCAGCTGGGTCGGATCTCTACTCTCAAGGCCATCGCAGAAATTCTCCCGGAGTCTCCTGCAGAGATTTCTGTTGAAGAAGTGAATCAGTTCTGGCTTCAAACTGAGGAGACGCACAAGGCGTTTCTCAAGGAACACACCTACTTCGAGGTCTCATGGCCCTCTGCGCTCACTCATCACGAGCATTTCTCCGGGAACGCTCTTCAAGAGGAAACGCTGTGCCACACACAAGCGCAACGCGTCATCGGCGTACTCCGTCACTCACTGACAGCTTCGTCCGCTCAATCAATCTGTGATTCGTCGGGCACGCCCGCAACCTGAAGCGACGGCAAGGAGTGTACTCGGACACGAGGAGTCGTGTCACTCACGCTACGCTCGACATCTTCCAACTCAACTGCCACAATTCAAGTTCATGTCCTCCAGACTGTCTCATCCCGCGACCTGTTGACATCCTCATCGGAGCAGACGCTTACGGGCAAATCATCAAGCCCAATATTCTTAGGCATTCTTCACTCATGCCGATGGCGCAACTCTCCATTTTCGGATGGCTCGTTCTTGGACCAGTCAACAGAGAAGCAAGACGCACATCCACGCATCATGCTGCTACCCAATTCAACGAGGATGCTCTTAATGAGCTGTTGACGAGATTTTGGAATCAAGAGGAGGTGCCTACTTACGATGGCACTCAACTCACTCCCAACGAGCAGAGGTGCGAGAAGCACTTCAAGACTACACACTCTCGTGAGTCTTCAGAGAGGTACATCGTCAGGATTCTACTCAATTTACCAGTAGATCTTTTGGGTGACTCTTACAACGTCGCTCATCAATGTCTGAAGGGATTACGCAGACGATTCTCAAGGGATGTGAATTATCAACGTCTCTATCAACCATTCATAATTGATTACGAGACACTCAACCACAAGACGAAGGCATCATCCATCTCCAGTCATCGCTCACATTTCTACCAGCCACATCACGGTATTCTCAAGCCTGACAGTCAACGACACTGCGGGTAGTTATAATGGCTCCAGCGCATCCACATCAGGCTACTCTGTCAACGACCTCATGTACACTGGCGCAAGCTGCATCTGAACATCTCAGATGTTCTACCATGGATACGGAGACATCGTTACATTCTCGCTGCGGACATCACCAAAATGGACAGACCAACTCAGATTCACAAGGATGACTGGGAGTTACAGCGGATACTCTGGATGGACAATCATCTCAATGAGGTGCCATCTCATTCAACAACGGTCACGTACGGGACGAAGGTCGCACCATTCTCAGCCGGACGGACCTTGTTACACGTAGCAGAAGACGAAGGACATAGTTTCCCACTGGCTGTGCCATCCATCACTCATGACAGGTATGTCGATGACATATTTGGTGGTGCAGATACAATACAACAATTGCAGGAGGTCGCACATCAACTAAGGGGCCTCTGCATGGCGGGCGGCTTTCCGCTAGCAAAATGGCATGCAACTCATCTTGACATACTCAAGATTGTCACCGACAGCGAAGACCAAGGCATCCCAATCACCTTCGACGATTGCGCAACCAAGGTACTCGGACTCAAATGGCTCCCTCAAGAAGTTACCTTTGCATTCTCAACACGAAGCTCACGCTCGGAAGGCAGATTCACAAAACGCCTCGTCTTATCTGAAGTGGCTCAGATACTCGATCCACTTGGTTTTGCATCACCCGTCGTGATCAAAGCCAAAATTCTCTTGCAGGAGCTGTGGCTGCACAAGCTCCAATGGGATGACCCACGGACATCCCAGCTCTCAACCCGGTGGCTCATCTACAGAGAAGAACTCACAAGCTCGACCGAGCTCTCGATACCTAGATGGTTTAACACCTGGAGCAACTCTTCTGTGGAACTGCAAGACTTCTCTGACGGTTCTCAATTGACAATGACTGCAGTCGTATACATCTCCGTTCACGACTCAACTGGATCCACGTTTTCACTTGTGTGCTCCAAGACTAAGGTAGCACCCCTCAAGCGGCTCTCAATCCCGCGACTGGAACTCACGGCGGTTCTACTGCTCTCTCGACTCATGCAATACGTCGAAGCCACTTTGAACATGGACGTAACGGCAACCCATATGTGGACGGAATCTCTAGTGACACTTTCATGGATCACCTCCGTGAAAGGTTCATGGATCAGATCTCAGGCATCACGCTGGAAGGATGTTGTCAGGAACAGGGTGGCTCAAATTCAAGAACTCACTCCAGCTGCTCACTGGAGATACATACCTGGAACTTCCAACCCGGCTGAGTGCGCATCACGAGGCATCACGACCACTCAACTTCAAAGCCACGCACTCTGGTGGACGGGACCACCATGGATACTCAATTCAGACTTATGGCCGTCACAACCAGCACTCTCTGAAGAATTGAGTGCAACAGAAGCTCGCCCAGGCGTTTCGCTATTGACGGCTACGCCAAGGACGGAATATCAATGGGAACTCATCTACAGGTATTCAAGCCTCACTAAACTATTGAGGATTACAGCTCTCTGTTTCAGATTCGTCTCACGGTTGAGGAAAGTCCACGACTCATTGCCTGTCAGACACATCTCTCCAGAGACCTTGGAGAAAGCGAGGCTCTTCTGGATTCAGGCAACTCAAGCAACGCACTTCTCTCACGAGCTCAAGGCGCTACAAGCAGACTCACCGTTGGCAGTCAACAGATTAACTGCGTACATCGACGCTCAAAGAGTCATTCGCGTCGGCGGACGACTCGCTCACGCAGCTTTTTCACTCGATGCGACACATACTGAATTATTGCCTCGTCACTCTCAGCTATCATCATTGATCATCGCTCACGCCCATCAACGGACTCTACATGGAGGCACGCAGCGTACGCTGTCACACATCTGACAACAATACTGGATTCTCGGCGGGAGGGCTCCTGTCAAGTCTCACATTCTGCGGTGTGTCACGTGTGCTCGGCTGAGGGGGATCCGTGCTCATCAATTGATGGGCCAACTACCTCTCTCTCGGGTTACGCAGGCACGACCGTTCACTCATACAGGTGTGGACTACGCGGGGCCACTCGCCGTCAAAACATGGAAAGGAAGAGGTGCCAAAACAACCAAAGGCTGGATTTGCGTCTTCGTCTGCTTCTCAACCTCAGCAGTACACCTCGAGGCAGTTAGTGACTACTCATCCGAAGGGTTCATTGCCGCCTATCGACGCTTCTCATCCAGACGCGGCATCGCTCACACCTTACAATCAGACTGCGGCACCAATCTCATCGGCGCAGACACGGCTCTCGAACGGCTCCTTATCCAGAGCACTCAAGAACATCAGCGAGTTTCGCTCCTGCTCTCGCAAGATAACACCCGATGGGAATTCAATCCCCCTGCGACACCTCACAAGGGAGGAAAATGGGAGGCCGTCGTACATTCAATCAAATTCCATCTACGGCGCACCATTGGAGAAGCCGTGCTCACCCTTGAGGAGCTCACCACATTGCTCACTCAAATTGAGGCAATTCTCAACTCGCGACCTCTCGAACCATTGAGTGACGACTCAGAAGACATCTCAGCACTCACGCCAGGTCACTCCCTCGTCGGAAGTCCTCTCAACGCCAAACCAGAGCCATCACTCACTGACCTGGCAATCTCAAGACACTCATGATAGCAACTCATCCAGCAAAAGACACAACATTTTTGGACAATGGTTATCGCATTACCTTCAACGCCTACAAGCCCTCAACATGGCATCACAGGAACAACGAGATCAAGATCGGATCATTGGTGCTCATCACAGACGAGCGACTACCACCATGCAAATTAGCCCGGATATCAGCCCTACATCCTGGGAAGGACGGACTCGTGCGGGTGGTGACTTTGAAGACAGCCACTGCCACTCTCATCCGACCAGTGATCAAGCCCTCCGTCCGGCCAATCTCATCTTAAGATCAGGGATCATCAACAACGTTGCTGATGGCGAGCGGAATGTTCGAGATTAATTTGAATCTCGTGTATTTCATCCCCGGCGTGATGGCAGCATCAGCCGGGTCAGATCGTGCAGCGCCGCATGAGCGCTGCTCGCGCATGCCCGATCGCGACGCGAGGCGACCGCGCGACTTCACGTACGTTTCCGGGCTCTTTGTCTCACAGCGACCGTACGTAGTACACGCGTCTTGAAGTGCGGATAGTTATCAAGTGCTCTTTTGTGGACCTCCTCATTTTCTCATCGAAGAGTAGAATCAGTGCGGACACGCAGTGAACTCTCAGCAGTGCAAAGCATCCAGGACATTCAGATACAGCATCAACGGCAGCTCAAGCTCTCCACGCATCGCACGCCGGCGTAGCGTAGCCACGGCTCATGGGCATCGACATTCACGAGGCCGACTCTCGATCAATAATATCGAATCGTGCAAGTGCATTAAGACTTTTCATCCACCGGTATCTCATAGACTACCAAACTGTAAGCTATTACATTTATTAAACGCTGACACGGTATTTTACTCTATCTGAGTTACGATCACGTGATTTCTACCCTCGCACGCGTGCATTCGTTCCCTGAGCCTCTCACCGCAAAGCCCTCTCACCCTGCTTCCATCCGCAGCGGTCACCAGCGAACTCTCCTCGCGAGATTCGCGAACAGGCGGAGATGAACGAATGGCTCCAAGTAGATAATCATGATCCGGGATGGAGAATTTTGACACTCGAGGAAATCACAGACTCCGTCTTACATAACATTGAGCCAGTCAATGTTGTCCTTAATGAGCATGGCGAAGATGCAGAAGAAGACGCAGAAGACACCAGCAACGAGGAAACGAGCATGTCTAATAATGATGCATACAATGCGCTTAATGGATTATATAAGTGGTTAGCATCGAAGCCAGGTGCAGACAGAGCACTGCTAGCGGCGCCGCGGCGTTGGATAAAGTTCAATCTGTAGCAATCGATGAAATGTTAAATAGGTCAATATGATTGAATTTCTATAAAAATATTAACCTGAAATGTCTTTTGCATATTGTTTACCTTTTCCTTCTTCCATACATAATTATAATTACTTAAATATTGATAATAATTAATTAAAAAGAATAATTAATTCTGCGTAATGCGTGGATTTATTTTCAAACTGTAGAAGGACAAATTATAATTTCATGTTGAAATGTTTAACTTTAATTATTAATAATGAATTTATTTAGAATTTACACCTAACCATCTAACATTGAATACCACTGAACTCTTACATAAATTAAATAGCATTTTCTGTAAACAATTTTTTGCGTGGGGTGAAAAACAGTTTACATGAGTTTACGTTTCAGCCCTGAGCGCGATTCACGGGGTGCACGAATGTGCTTAACGGCCCTGGGCGACGATGCGGCGGTGGTGGGGAGCTAACCCTCTTGAATACGCGAAGATGTGGGACGGAAACAAGCGAAAATATGGGACGCGCGCAGATGTGGGAAGCGCAGATGTGGGACGTTTTACTGCATATCAACTTCATGGAGAATGTATAAGGAGACCGAACTAGGTCTGGATCACGTCACCGAACGTGGGCCGATATTTTTGCCATCCAGTAAATCAAAATTTTGCCACTTGTAGCACTGGCGTCGCCTTACGCGATTAAGAATTCGCCCATGAGTTTACTGATCTTGATCTCGTAAATACAGCGTATAACTGTTGTTATCTGGGGGTCAATTTTTGAAACTTACGAAAATTACAAAAGTGAGTGAATATTTATAATTTCAATCTGTGAATTCGCTCACTTTTGTAATCTCCACAAGTTTCAGAGATACACAATCCATCTCCTCATCTTATTTACAGATCGGACGTATATTATATTACCACGAAAGCTTCATGCATATGACAACCATGTGTCACGTACGAATGCGAATGGAGTTAGTTGATGACAGCGCTCCCAGTATTGCTTTTCAGAACGTCTGGCTGACACGAACATCGGCCCATTCTGATTACGGGCAGTTCGGTCTCCTTATACATTCTCCATGATCAACGTGTAACCATACGTAATATGTCCACAACTTATCCATGTTTTACTTGAACAAATGCTCAAAATATTTGCAATTTCCCGCTTTAGCTTATTAGCAAACATAGCTTAGATTATACTTTGATTATTCCACATATTTTACGTAATTCGACTTATATTTAGTTTCGTAATTTGGCTACTTGTATCCCGAACCAGAGAGAAACCTGAGAGCGGCCATGCCGGTGTTTTGCATAGACATCTATGGACGGACCCTTTGTACGAGGGGTAACTGATAATCGCGGTAAGGGGATCACTCGTCTGACTTCCACTTTTTCCGGTGAGATCCCCACTCCAAGTTGGAGGGGATGATCCGTTCGGCCACGCGCGCGCGCACGCTCGACACAAGCAACGCGCCGTATATACGTGTGCACACGTATTGGAAATGTGAACCGAATATTACCGAATCTCACCGGAAAGAGTCGAAGTCAGATGAGTGCCTCCCGCGCCCCGAATATCAGAACCCCTCTTGTCCAGAGTTGTAGCTAATGCTCCGTCTATAGATGTCTATGGTGTTTTGTTTGTTACCGTTTTCGCTCAACTGATTCCAGCGCTTTACGCCCATTTTCATTTTTGGAACTATTCCGCTACACCAATTTTCAAGTACTGCCGATAAAGTCTCCACTTGGTGCGTGTCCATGCTACGCCCATTTTTCAAGCGGGTAATGCAGTGCCCAATTTTGGTTGTATTCCGTGCTGCATGCATGAAATATCGGTAACAGGAGAGTGTTATTGATTTTTCGTAACGAGAGCGAGCGAGAAGGTATAAGAGCGAGCGAGACGGCAATAAGAGTGAGCAAGTTTTTAAAAGTACTGACCGTCTCTTCGTAACTCACTCTTTGAATATAAAATTCAAGCACATAAATATATTGTAGAAACAAATTTTACTTTGTGTTATATGTACACTCGACAGCAAAATTAAAGGATCACTAAAATATTGCCGAAAAATTATCGATTTTTGAAGTGCTATAACTTCGTGAAACAAAATCGTACGACAATGTTTCTGGGCTCATTTTAAAGGGCGAAGCCTCCACTTTCGCTTCCCTATGTTGATTTTCCTCAAAGATGCTTTTACACTAGGAAGCAAGGTGGAAATTTAAAAAAAGATTTAAACTTCGAAAATTTCGCGAACTAAAACGACTCTACGGAGTTGCAAAAATTTATTTCGCGGCTCACATTAGCATGAATTCGAAGACTGAAGTCTACTCTTTAAAATGAGATGTTGAACATTGATCTACGATTTTCTTCGCCATTTTATTGTATTTCGAACGATTTTCGAAAATGTCAAATGTGCCGCTGGCATTAGCATAACCCAAGGTACACCACGAGGAGATTGCACGGTCGGACTTGTACCTCGGATGTGCGTGTGCGTGTGCGTGTGCGTGTGCGTGTGTGTGTATGCTTGCATGTGTTTGTATTTGTATGTGCGTACACGCGCGCACGTATGTCAACAGAGATTAGGACCCCACGGTTCGTCACTCCCGCAGTATTTAGTGACTCCAAACCCTCTTTGTTGCTGTGTGTTGTTTTAGACACGCACACGCACACGCACACGCGCGCGCACACGCGCCCACGCGCACATGCGCACACACATCCGAGGTACAAGTCCGACCGTGCAATCTCCTCGTGGTGTACCTTGGGTTATGCTAATGCCAGCGGCACATTTGACATTTTCGAAAATCTTTCGAAATACAATTGTTTGCACTTTATTCGCTGGCTCTATTGCTCAGGAAGTAATTTATACGCTAAGAAAAAGATTACAAGGATGTTTACTTATGTCAAAATAGACAGGTAGAAATAAGAACGTAAACTGTTAATCCATGCTCTGAGACGACGGGCGACTGAATGCCTCTCGTCGGTGAAATGAGTACTTATCCGATCTGATCTCGACGTCGAACCATCAACTGGGAATCGCTGTCCTCGTTATCCTCAACACATTAATCCGGGTGGTGATCTGCTGGCTGTAAGGATTTAGTGATTCCGGGTGCGAGCAAGCGCACGATCCTTTGGAATAGGCGGGTATTCTAGAGTATGAGCAAACGCAGGAAGTCCTTGCGGACGAAGCGGTTTCCCTGGGTGCGATAGCGTGCACCAAGTCCTTGCGGACGAAGCGTTTCCTGGGTGCGTTAAAGTGCACCAAGTCCTTGCGGACGAAGCGTTTCCTGGGTGCGTTAGAGTGCACCAAGTCCTTGCGGACGAAGCGTTTCCTGGGTGCGTTAGAGTACACCAAGTCCTTGCGGACGAAGCGGTTTTCCTGGGTGCGTTAGCGGGCACCAAGTCCTTGCGGACGAAGCGGTTTCAAAAACTCCGAGCCTCCCTCGTCTCGGATAATGCAAAAGACTCGAGAAAGAGTTCTCACTCGCGTTATCGATCAAACAAACAAAAGCACGTTCACCAAACTACGGACCGTGAAGGACGAGCGGCGCGTAACGAAGCACTCGAACAAAGACGAGCTTCGTCCGAGGCTCGACCTCTTGTCGAAAAGCGCGGACCATGGAGAGAGCCCATGTCAGATTGCGCATCTGATTGGTGGTGAGAGCTGCTCATCGAGAGGTTTCGTGCGAATTGAGTTGGTACAGAGCGCGGACCATGAAGAAGGACCTTGCCTGATTGGCTGGAAATGCGGGCCGTAGAAGCGGTCCGCACGAGTCGAGTAGGTGTAGAGCGCGGAACATGAAGAAGGACCATCTTTTCGCAAATCCCAGATTGCATGGGTTTTAATCGTTTCTCCAAACATTCCGCCCGCCTTCGACAATTAGTTCGTCGAATACCCTCCTTCTCGTTCAACTGGCAGAAGACAGACTTTGGCTATTGGTCGTTTGTATGTGGAGGAGGCAGTCTGCAAAGAAACGACTCTGATTAGTCCGTCAACCCCCGGGTGCAATTTTGTGACTCTCGCAAGAGGCCATTTTCCGGGAAGATAGCGTTCGTCAATCATCAGCACTAAAGATCCTTCCTTAACTTCATGAGAAGGGTGTTGCCACTTAGATATGGCTTGGTATCGCTGTAGGCACTCTGTGGACCACCGGGTCCAGAATTGATCCAGTTTTTGTCTAAGAAGTTGCCAACGCGACGGCCGTGAAGTCGGCTCAGCGGCCAAATTCGGTTCCGGGATGATAGCGGGAGATTCGCCTATTAAGAAATGACCTGGAGTTATGGCTGAGTAGTCACTGATGTCCTCCGAAAGGGGACACAATGGTCTGGAATTTAGAACGGCTTCTATCTGCACAATGCCTGTCGTCATTTCCTCGTATGTAAGAACGGTTTCTCCTGAGACTCTCCGAAGATGGAACTTGGTAGATTTAACTGCGGCCTCCCATATTCCTCCGAAGTGAGGTGCCGACGGAGGGTTGAACTTCCATTCCGTTCCGTCATTGGCGAGCAGGGTAGCGAGTTCTCGCAATTCCTTGGAGGAGGAATCAAATACGCAGCTCAGCAGCAGCTCCTAAGAAGTTCGTTCCGCAGTCGCTTTGAAGGGTGTGGCATACACCTCTCCCGCCAGTAAACCTTTTGTAGGCGGCGATGAAGGCAGCCGTAGTGTAGTCTGTTACTACCTCGATGTGGATGGCGGTGGTTGCTAGACATATAAAAATTGCAAGATAACCCTTGTAGGTACGAGCCGCCCGCCCTCGCCAAGTTTTTAACGCAATGGGTCCGGCGTAATCTAGCCCGGAATTCTGGAAGGGTCGTGCCGGTGTCACTCGAGCTGACGGTGGTTGTCCCATCAATTGTTGCGCTCGAATCCCTCGATAACGTGCGCAGCGTACGCATTTCAGGATGCGTGATCGCACTGATGATCTTCCGCCCAAGATCCAGTATCTAGATCGTATCAGGTTTAAGGTAACTTGCGTACCTCCGTGCAAGGCTCTGAGGTGAGCATCGTCCACTATGAGTGTGGTGAGGGGGGACCTTCGAGGCAGGATGAGGGGGTGTTTGGTTTCTGCATCCATTACGGCGTTTTGTAGTCGTCCTCCAACTCGTAATAGTCCCTCTCCGTCCAAGAAGGGTGTAAGCCTCACTAAGGGGTTGGATTTTGGCAACGGCTCTCCTCTGGAAACGTGTCTTACCTCGTTAGAGAACCATTCTTGTTGTACGAGCCGTACCCAGGTGTTGCGACTTTGGTCTATTTCGGCTGGCGTCAAGGGATAATGTATTGGCGATGTTTCCGGCAACCTTCTTAGCCTTGCTACGAACCTGCGACAAGTTGCTGTAACCCGCAACAACTTCGTAAAAGAGGAATACCTATCAAGCAAGTTCCAGTAGGAGTGGGTCTGGGCGACCGTAGTCGAAATTTGCCCGGGTCGTTCTTCCAGTTCGACTTCGACTTCAGGCACACAGTCTGCAGAAGGCCAAAGTGATTTTAGTTCCTTTAGCCAACAGGGGCCCCGCCACCACAAATGATGGTTGATCAATTGGTCCGGCTGGAGGCCTCTGGAGGCGCAATCCGCTGGATTTTCCTTTCCCGATACGAAATGCCACGAGGCGCCAGGGAGAAGCTCTTGTATGGCACACACGTGGTTGTGGACGAAGTCCTTCCAACGTGATGGATGGGCGTTGATACAGGTCAGAGCTACTGCTGAGTCCGACCAACAGTACACAGATGTCTCGGGTAGTTCCAGAGCCTTTATCGTTAGTGTCATCAGGCGCGCCAGCAATAGTGCTGCAGCTAGTTCCAAGCGGGGTATTGTTAGCCGTTTAATTGGCGCGACCTTTGTTTTAGAGCATACTAACTGCACGGAATACTTGCCGTTTTCCACTGGGACTCTCACATAAACCGCAGCTGCCAATGCATGTTGGGAAGCGTCCGAAAAGCCGTGTGAGAGAGAAAGCAACTGTGAGAGGCGAATTTTCAGTTCGATATCGGTACTAGAGCGTACATGCTTAAGCCACCTGGGTATGGATATTTGATCAAGCTTTAAGAGTTGTTGTCGGAAGAACACCCAACGCTCATGTAGTTCGGAAGGAATGGGGTCATCCCATCCTATTTTCACTAACCAAAGCTCTTGTAAAATAATCTTAGCTTTTATCAGGACTGGTGATATTAATCCTAGCGGATCATATAATCTTGCGATTTCGGAGGCAATCTTCCTTTCGGTGAGAGTAGGAGTAGAAAAGTCTAAGACGGAAAAATGGAAGGTGTCTTGGTCAGGTTTCCAAGCGAGGCCTAGTATTTTGTGAAGGGTAGGCTCAATCTCAACTGTGAAAGGCGAATTTTCATCTGTAGGGGGCAGAACCTCCGGATAATTGCTGCTCCACTTCTGCAATGGGAATCCGCCCGCCCTGCAGATTTCACTTAATAGGGTATTATAGCATTGTTTGGAAAAAATTTTTTTGTTTAGTTCATACCCTATTTAGTTATTAAAATTTTTGTTATTTGCTTTAAAACATTCAATTTATATGATTTTTTAATTATTTAAAATACCATGGTTTAAAGTACTACGAAAACGCGCCAAAAGCAGTTAATATGGCGTCATAGTCGCATGACGTCACTTCGTTACTATCATACATCAAGGCAAGTAGGAGTTTGTATACAAAATCAGTACTACTTTATAATAATAATTTAAAATATGGAAAACGCACGACCCTATCGACGATGTTTTGTGCCACAGTGTAAGAATACACAAAAAATGACACCAAGTAAGGTATTTGTAAGTATACCACAGGATAAAACTAGACGGCAACTGTGGTTCAAACTTGCCCGTCGTGTAGATAAACCAACATCCTCAAATTATTATTGTTGCGAAGACCATTTCAATGTAAGTGTTGCATTAAACAATTTGGTAATTAGTCTTACTACGTATTGAAATAAAATAATTGTATTCTAACCTAAAATATGTAACAAAGAAAATAATTTTTGTTAGACAAATTATTATTTTTGTATTTACACGTATATTTATATTTAAAATATTTTTAATTTCTTCTGTTTTAGTTAAAAGAGGATATGGAAAATTTTATGATTTTTAAATTAATGGGCGCACCAATAAAAATGAAAAAAGACGCAGTACCTCATATTTTTGATTGCCAACCTGACCGTCGAACAGCTATAAGTACTCGTGACCGACCTGCACTTAAAAAATTGAATCGTAAGAGAATGGTATCGGAAATAATGTCTGATTGCGGAACTCATCCCAATGAAAACATTTCACCAAATGTTAAAAGTAAGAATGAGATAGCTTCAAAAAAAGTATGTACACAACAAGGAATTTCAACAAATGATTCGATAAGTTTTTCAGTTACGGAGAATAAGAAAATAATCAATGAAGTTGATTTTTTAAATACACCGTACAACTCAGAAACTATTAATGTTGAAGAAAGCAATAAATTTTCATTAATCGATATAGAAAAAATAAATGCAGAAAAAGGAGTAAATGTATCATTGTTTTCGAAGGACAAAATAGAAACTAATAAGACGTGTGCTTCAGATAAAGGAAAAAAGAACACAAAGATTTTTTTAGAAGTAAAAAACTCAATGCAATATAAAGTGCAGTACTATTGAAGAAAGTTGCCAAACGTTGTGTAATACTGTAGATGCAGCATGTTCGCCCATTAATGTGCCAACAGAAAGTGACAATAGCAGTGCAGCTATAACCGCAACTGATTCTTCAAAAACGATTACAACTGGTACTTCTGGTACTGAATATGAACCATGTAATGAAGATTATTTGGAGTATCGTGAAGAAGAAGATCTACAAGCAAAAAGAAATGCTTTACATTTAACAAATTATTTTATTAGCACGCACACAAAACAATACATCGGAATTCCAAATGACTGGTTGTGGATTGTTGATGAATTGCATAAAAAAACTAGTTTATCAATCACGGATAATATAAAATTGACTTTGATGAAAATCAAACTGAATGACACCTTAGCAAGATTAGGAAACCAATTTGGAATCAGCATAGCAGGAACATCAAAAATTTTTCAAAATAGTGTACCAAAATTATGTCACTTCTTAAAAACTCTTATTTATTGTCCTCCTAGAGAAACTGTAAAAATGGCATTATCTATACCGTTTCGTGCAAATTTCGCTCACGTTTATGGCATAATTGACTGTTTTGAAATTCAAATCGAAAAACCATCAAATGCTCTTCAGCAGGCTTTAACATGGTCGAAATATAAAAATGTAACACATTGAAATATTTAATATGTTGAACACCGGATGGATTTATAAATTTTATTTCTTCTGGTTATGGAGGTCGAGTAAGTGATGTTGAGTTGTTTGAACAATGCGGAATAATGGATGTTTTGCCAAAAAAATGTGGAATTATGGCAGATCGCGGTTTTAAACAGATTCAAACATCTTTAAATAAAATTCAGTGCGAACTTATAAGACCTCCTAGTGTAAAAAGTGGAAGTAAACCATCTGAAACAGAAGTAATATTAACGAAGCGTATAGCAAGTTTAAGGATTCACATAGAACGTGTAATAAGAAGACTACGAGAATTTTCACTTTTGGAACCACATTCTACTTTAAATCATAACATTATGCCATACATAGATAATGTTGTTTGCATAGCAGCAGCTTTAATAAACCTTCAAGCACCTATTATAAAAACATAATAATAATTTATAACTATTAATATAAAATGATACGCGGAATAAAGAATCTAGTTTTTCATACATCAAACTTTTTTATATGCATACTTTATCTTGAAATGGAATTCATTAATTTATAATAGATGTTTTTTTTCAGAAATTGATAGCTTGTTCTGTTATAGCTGTAGTATAATTTTTATCATAGTCTATCCAGACTGTTGTCACCTTTCTATTATTTTCAAAATCGGGATTAGCAACACAAAATAGGCCTCTTTTTGTGTTTGTAACTAGCATTTAAAGATTCATTTGTGCTTTGTACTTAGAAGTTACTTTTCCTTTCGACACAAATCGAGAAACGGCTTTGTCTGAATTTGGACACTTTATCTCTACAATGAAATCATTGCCCAGAGCATCCGGAGAAGCCCCTAAAATCGGGAAACTTGGCATTAAAAAAATGCCACAATTTTTTAGTTTCTGGCCTACTATTTTCTCAACTTCTTTAATTACTTCTTTTTCAAGATGTCTTCCTCTTTCCATTTCTTTTGTATCATATACTTTGGATGCTCCAATGATCCGCTGTACAAGACTTCCATCTTCGGTGTTACAATTTGCAGCTTCATGTAATATCGACGCAGTTATTCTACCGTAGCGAAGTTCAAACCATAAAAGGCTATTACTTTGTAGTCGAGTTGCATTTTCTGCTTCAATGTGCGCCTCTCTGCCTCTCTCTCTCTCGCTAGCGTGCGCGCGTTATATATTTA